TCAACCCTCCTACTCGGTTTTATTTTCTGGTTTCTCTGTTTTCTCTTTGTCCTCTTCTTCCTTGTTCTACAAACTCTTCCTTGATAGTCATGTATGTAAGGCAGGAAAAATAATTTTTTCTCTACCTTTCTGAGTTCTTAGCTGGGATTCTTTTTAACAAAAGGCAGATTAACAAGAAACAAACAAGCATAATTTTATTAACATGTATATCTCATATATATATATATGAAACACCCAGGATCAAAATACCAATTCTTAAATAGGTGGCTTGGAATTCAGGCTTATATAACATCTTCAACTGAAAACAAAGAAGGAAGAGTGTGGGGCAGGCCAGTTATAGGAAACTTATGATAGATAAAAACTAATTAGTAAAGTTCATTATGTAGATTTCTCTGATGCCCTCTCCAGGATGACAAAGGTCTAAAGTCATCTCAGTTTTTAGTTTTTAGTTTTTACTGGTAGAGAAGGAAGGAGGGACATCATTGTAAATTTGTGTCTTGCTTTTAGGCAAATAGGAAAAAGACAGAGAAATCTGTGTATATCTGCTTCTTCTCAGTTGCCTTCAGCTCAAAAAATCCTTATGCCAAAGTGGCACATTTTGGGGTGGCATATCTACTACCCTGCATATCTTGCATAAATACAAATGCCATTGTTTATATCTTTTTAACTCTAAAGACAAAAGCAAAGACACTAGTTGTATCAGTTGTCAACCTTCTCAACTGTGATGTGCTTAAATCATCATACAATAGTCTGTTTCCAAGAAGTAAAAGAGAAACGGCATTTGAACTACTAACATGATTTTTAAGATTACTTTGTTGATTTATAGTTTAGTGTTAAGCCATTGTATTAGTCTGTTCTCACACTGCTAATAAAGACATCCCAGAGACTGGATAATTTATAAAGGAAAGAGGTTTAATTGACCTATAGTTCAGTATGGCTGGGGAGGCCTCAGGAAACTTACAAACATGGTGGAAGGGGAAGCAAGTTCATCCTTGAAAGAGAAGAATGAGAACCAAGCGAAGGGAAAAGCCCCTTCTAAGACCATTAGATCTCATGAAAACTTATTCACTATCACTAGAATGGCATGGGGAAAACCTCCTCTATGACTTAATTACCTCCAACAGGTCCCTTCCACTACATGTGGGATTATGGGAACTACAATTCAAGATGAGATTTGGGTGGGGGACACAGTCAAACTATATCACCCATGTATTTCAAAACTACATGCTTTGATGCGGTAACTAAAAGCTTCAACAATAAAGTGATTTGTGTTTCTTTTTCTTTATAAAATGTCATTTTCTGTGTTGTATTTCCTTTGATATGCCTTGTATAGAAAACTGAGTTGTCATGTGGTAAGTTTTAAAAAAAAAAAGTGTTTATAATCCAGTACTGAAATAGATAGAAATCAGACACAAACTTTAGATAAAATTTTACAATGTAGGTGTGGAAAAGGTGTGATACTTTTCTTCCCCATTGAAAGGGTCACAGTCCACACTCCTAAAACAAAAGAGAGGTTAACAAGAGAAAAGCATTATAGATTTATTCAATCGAAGTTTTACATGACATGGGAGACTTCAGAAATGAAGACTTAAAGATTCAGGGAAAACTGTCTATTTTTATGTTTTGGTTTGATGTGGAATGCACAGCCATGTAGAAGGAAAATCAAACTCAGGCATGGTGGCTCATGGTCCTAGTGATGGTCCTAGCTATGCAGAAGTGGGAGGCAGGAGAATTGGCTTGAGTCCAGGAGTTCAAGGATGGAATGAGCTATGTTCTGACCCCTGAACTCAAGCATGGGCAACAGAAGGAAATTATCTCAAAAAATAAAAAATAAATATGATTGAACCAAAAAAGTATGACCTAAAGGCAAGAGACTGAATGGGGAAACACAACAAGGCCTGTCTGCTCAGATTCTTCTTGGCTTCTCTGAGTGACATTTCTTCTTTCTGGGTATAGGGTGAGAGCTTTCTGGAGTAACAGTCTTACGTCTACCTTTAGACAAGGTAGGTCAGAGAATTTCCTCATTGCTAGCACTTACACAAAAAGGCAAGTGGTAGAGTAATATTTCTAGGTTTTATGGCTGGCTGTTGGGGAGAAGGGTTCTGGTTCTATGACCTCTCTTAGGGAAGAGGAACTCTAGTTTCTATGGCCTGCCTTGGGGAGAAAAGAAAGCAGGAGAAAGAAGGGCAGAAGAAGGTCAGAAAGAGACTCCTTCTGAAGCTTTTCCAGCGTCCTTCATGTTCAAAGTACTCAGCATGCCAAATCACCATATTTGGGGGTGTCATTTTCAGAGCTCTCAAACAAAAAACTTAAGAAGTTTGAAGTTTAAGTGCAATTTAATGTTATTTATATTCTCATTCAAATTTTAATACAGTCATTGCAAGGAATAGTACCGTTTAGGAATATGTTATAGTTCCAACAAATTTAGTGATACCTATGCTGAAAGGTTTTATGAGTGTAACAAACATGTATGATTAGTTCATAAATTGACTCTTGTTTTATTTGTATAATATAAATTTTAGGTAAAGTCATACTGAAATGAACTTGCAGTCTGCAATAGGATAGGTCACTGGGTAAGAATGATTAAGGAATAGAAATCGCTATGAATTTTGAGATCGTGCTAGTTCATCCTGAACCTAGTAAATTCTATTAAGATGAGAAATAATACATAGTTCTTCTGTAGTAAGCACATTTAACTGTAAGAAATTAAATCTGATGACCAGAAAAGGGAGCAATCAGTGTGCATCTCTGATGTTTGTGTGCAGGTAAATTGCCTTGCGTTAAACTGAATTTGGTAGCTGAAGCAATTATTTTTCTATAATATTTTCCCTTCATAGAGTAACTGCAAATGATACAGGTGGCAAACCAAAACCAAAAAAATGACCTAAATGTTTTATTATCAATAAAGTTCTGTAACTGTGAAGGTAACTGAATAGCAAACCAACAGTCAAAAGGAAAAAGGTGTAACATGTTTTATTGTTGATATAATTTGAGGCATACTTATAATGGTACTTTGAATTCCTTGAATTGAGGAAAATCTAAAACTGCATAGTAACCCTGCCTACTTATATGCACTGGGAATGTTACTACCTTTGTGATTCACTTACCATATACAGTAGTGTAAAAGGAGGGTTTCCCTACTGTCCTTTTCAGAAAGCTCCACCCTGATTACTTTCAGTGCCACCCATGGGTAAGTTCAAGGCTTTCCATTTCCCACTAGCTTCCTCTAAGTTTACAGAGTTCTAACCTCAATTTCAGGCATTTAGGTATGTCCTTGGCAACTGAAGTGGAGACTGTCCTCAAAGGAACCTTGGAATGCACAGACGTGCCTCAGTTGGGTTGCATAGCCTGCGGGCAGCCTCTGCACCTCTCAGCAAAGGTCACGTATGGAGCCTGCTCCAACATGGCCCCCTGGCACTAAGACAGAGTTCACTCTTGGAGGGAGTGGAGGCAGGGAAATAAACAAAAGCTGACTCTGCTCCTGCATCCCCAGCTACCCTACAAAGCAGTGTCCTGGCCCGGGGACCACTTTGGCCTCTCTCCATCACCACGCCTTCTTCTTCCTGATCTACATGGGTGGTTGCAGTCTTTGGATTATTTGGAAGTCAAGGTCCTGGTCCCTAATCTGTTCTTTTTAATCTATTGTTTATGATCACAACATTATGATCTCAGCCCTTCATAGGTTAACACCCCAGAAATACTAAAGGGCATCTCTTAAGGATCAAAAACCAGGCTATTTTTTCCATTAAGAGCTCTGAAAGTGTATTTTAATCCATAAAAGTTAAGGTTTGTCTTCTTTGTTCTTGTGATTGACTGTGGTGCTATTTTCTTGAAACAACTGAGCAGGAAGGACCTGGCTCTCTTCAGGGTATAAGGAATGATCAGGGCTTTGGAGGTGGAAGACAGCAAGTAATGTGAGAGAGTGCCACGTGATAGCTAAAAGTAAACACTAAAAGTATAACGCTAAAAGTATTATGTCCCAGCTTCACCACTAACTAGCTGTGCTACCATGGGCAAATTCAGTTACCTTGCTATGACTTACTTTCCTCACCGATATTAGTTTCTCAAGACTGCTTTAACAAATCACCACAAAATTGATGGCTTAAACCTCAGAAATTTATTCTGTCACTGTTCTGAAGGCCAGAAGTCTGAAATCAGCTTCACTGAGCCAAATTCAAGGTCTTGGCAGGGCCACGCTCTCTCTGAAGCTTTAGAGGAGAATTCTTCCTGGCCTCTTCCCACTTTTGGTGACTGGCAGAAATCCTTGCTGGCGGCCACATCCCAGTCTCTGCTTCTATGGTCACATTGCTTTTGCCTCTTCTTCCTTATGTCTAATCTCTGTCTGCCTCCCTCTTATAAGAATGCACACGATTGCATTTAGGGTCCACTCAGATAATCCATGATCACCTCCCCATCTCATGATCCTTAATTTAATCACATCTGCACAGTGCTTTATTGCCATACAAGGTAAAATTCACAGGTTCCAGGGATTAGAAGCTAAGTGTCATTGGTGGAGACAATTATTCAGCCTGCTATAAATTAGGTTGATCATTAAAGTACCCACACGAACATTCAAGAATATAATATGTGAAATTCACTTAAAACAACATCTACTATGACATAAAGCATTCAACAATATTTATCCCATGATAGTGATGTTCATGATGCAACAACAAGAAAATGCAGCCAAAAAGTTTCAAGGTAGAAATTATTTTTAAATAAAAGTATATGGAAGATCTCATCTCTGGATTTTTTTAAATGTGTTACCTTTAAAATGTTAATATTAATCAAAGGATTGTATCTCCACATTTAATAATTATAACCCAATAATTTAGGCATATAATACATGCAGCCACTTGGGGCTTTGTCTTTTGTTACTTTTCACTTGAAATTGAAATCATTGTAGCAATTTCATCCACCCTGAATTCTTCCTAGGGTCAAAGGCAAAGATGTGATGTAATACAATTTTCTCATTTTGCTCTTTTGTCTCCTACCCACCTAGGACACCGATCTAATGACATTCAATATCTCTGTACATCGGTCATGGTGGAGAGAACATGGGCCTGGTTGTGTCAGAAGAGTGCTGCCTCCCTCAGCCCATGGCATGATGGACGATTACACGTACGTCTCTGTCACAGGCTGCATCGTTGACTTCCAGTACCTGGAGGTCATCCACAGTGCTGTCCAAATACTACTCTCTGTAAGTGTCACTTTTGTATCATTATCTAATCAGAACTCTTCTTTATTGGCATTTTTTTCTCCACACCTACCTGATAGAAAATGCCTCAGATAAGCACACAGAGAACATCCAACAGAAATAGCAGCAATTATGGTACCACTAGTTATACCTGATGGCAGGTTACACCTTTTTTCTCTTGTTATCTAGACATTTTCTATTTAGAAGCAGTTAGTGACTGTCATTTCTAACTTACGATACAATCCACACTATTCAATGAAATAGTATCACCATCCACCAGAAGTGGTCCCTTTTCACTTAGCTGCCTCAGGTTCTTCTGCTAATGCATTCTTCCACTAAATTTCCAGAGAAAGAAGGATGGAAACACCCACAGACAATGGCTTGCTCAGTCTAATAAACCTGACATTTCATTAATTCCTTAAAAAACAAATCCCACTAGAGACCCTTTGCATTTTAGTGCCTAAAATCTGGCATCAGAATACAATTCCATATACAGAAATGAGAAGGAAATGATGTGATTAGTCCATAGAACGTTTATGTGCAAGGGACTCCTTAAAAGTAATTTTCTTCTACCAGACTGCCCCACTCACAGTTTGACCACAATGAGGAGTGGAATTAATTTAAGGATGTGTAACATCATCAAGAACAATGTTCCTTTGAGATCCAAACAGGACTTATCATTTAGTTTGAGTCAATATTCCAATAAAACCATTCTCAACCCACTATTCACATAACCCAACCATCTCAGTTCTGTTCAGCTGGTTAGCTTAGTAGGAATAAGAGACACAGAATCATTAGTAAATAAATAGATAGCAGAAATACCAGTCAATTAAGAAAGTACCTTGGAATTAATTATAGAAAAATCTTTAAGAAATCCTTGCTATCACTTACTGTATTCATTCATTATCTACTACTATGTAACAAACCACTCCAAAATGCAATTGCTTAAAACAATATTAATTTAGTGTTTAGAGTTCTGTGCATTAGGAATTTGGGCACATCTTAGCCAGGTAGTTCCTCTGCTTTATATGGTATTAGATAAAGTCACTCATATAAACTCCACACAATATTGACTAGGGTCACTGATGTGAGCCTGTCAATCTGGAGCTCTGCTAGGACTGGAATGTCCAAAGAGGCCTCACTCGCATCTCTGGTGCTGGTTGTTGGCCCCATTCTCCTGCACACGCATATGGCTTCTCTTTCTTAAACAAACAAACAAACAAACAAAACTTTAAAGCAGTTTTTCCCAATTCTGTGAAGAAAGTCATTGGTAGCTTGGTGGGGATGGCACTGAATCTATAAATTACCTTGGGCAGTATGGCCATTTTCGCAGTATTGATTCTTCCTATCCATGAGCATGGTATGTTTTTCCATTTGTTTGTGTCCTCTTTTATTTCACTGAACAGTGGTTTGTAGTTCTCCTTGAAGAGGTCCTTTACATCCCTTGTAAGTTGGTTTCCTAGGTATTTTATTCTCTTTGATGCAATTGTGAATGTAAGTTCATTCATCATTTGGCTCTCTGTTTGTCTGTTACTGCTGTATAAGAACCCAGCCATCCCATTACTGGGTATATACACAAAGGATTATAAATCATGCTGCTATAAAGACACATGCACACATATGTTTATTGCAGCACTATTCACAATAGCAAAGACTTGGAATCAACCGAAATGTCCATCAGTGACAGACTGGATTAAGAAAATGTGGCACATATACACTGTGGAATACTATGCAGCCATAAAAAAGGATGAGTTTGTGTTTTTTGTAGGGACAGGGATGCAGCTGGAAACCATCATTCTCAGCAAACTATCACAAGAACAGAAAACCAAACACCACATGTTCTCACTCATAGGTGGGAACTGAACAATGAGATCACTTGGACTCGGGAAGGGGAACATCACACACAGGGGCCTGTTATGGGGAAGGGGGAGGAGGGAGGGATGGCATTGGATGTTATACCTGATGTAAATGACGAGTTAATGGGTGCTGACGAGTTGATGGGTGCAGCACACCAACATGGCACAAGTATACATACGTAATAAACCTGCACGTTGTGCACATGTACCCTAGAACTTAAAGTATAATAACAATAAAAAAATTAAAATAAAATGACAGATTCTCAGACAACAAGGCAGCTGAATAATAAAAGGAAAAGCCAACATGTAAGCATTTATCAAGCCTCTACTTGAGTAATGCTTGCTATTGCTTCATTGGCTACAGCAAATCTATGACCCAGCCTGTAGTCAGTGTGAGAGGGGGCTATCAAAAGGTGAGAAGACAAGGAGGCATGGCTCTTCTAGGGCCACCTATGTGGTGCTCTTACTTCATTTACTCAATCTACTAGTTACTGTTCTTTAATTTGCATGTCTCAAGTTTTAAAATAATGTTTTAGAGCACATTTGAATTACAATATTCTAGAAAGACTAAAGATTTGAATAAAACAAAAATCAAAGATCTTTTAGGGTTCTAGTTCAAAGAAAGGCAAATTTGACACTGAATTCAAAGAAAGGGATTGCACCTTGATGGCAAGGAATTTCCTTTCAGACATGTAACAGGGAATCTGATCATTCTAGGTTTCTACAATCATATTTGCAGGTATAAATATAATATACAGTCACTTGTCAATATATGCTTATCAGTCTTTTCTTATTCTCTGATCCTTTTTTAAAGTAGCCATTACATATAAAATTGTGACAAAATATATATGTTTAAATTTTTGTCTTGAAAAAATGTGGAGGCAAATTTTCTTTTAAAAATGTGTCGGTTATTTTGAGTTATAAAAGAACTCTACTATCCTATACTAGATACTTACAGTTTTTATTAATCATCTTAAATAATGAAAATGTTTTCCTAAAATCTTTCATATGTGAACAGATTACTCTCATTTAAAAAAATATTGTAGCAAATTGCTAAACCATTTTGTGGAATGATGACATGGCCAGACCTTTATAATGCAGCAGAACGCTGTGAAATCCAAAAGTCATTTCCCCGTAGTAACTCCAGTTCAAATCAACAGCAAGTATTTATTTGATAAAGAGCTGGAGTGTCATGTAAAAACATTCCCTAAAGGGCAATCTAAATAAACTGTATGTGCTGCCACCTAGAAGTACTTGTCACCTATAAGTGAATTTTTCCACATATTATTTTAGTAAACATTCAAAGCTACCACCTTGCACACATAGCTCTATACTCTTCAGCCTTTGAGAAATAAAAGATTAGTTGCTGCTCACTGACTTTTCTTGTAACACACCTGCAGGACAAGATTTTTAATATTTTATCTTTTTATATTAAAGTAAAATATATCATGAAATTGTTTCACAACTATCCAATTATGTATTGGTGGTGTGATTGATTTTTGTATGGGTTTCTTGTGTTTGTCACTTATTGTATATGATTATGTTTACTTATTAGAACTGTGCTTCTTTTTTTTTTTTTTTTTTTTTTTGAGATGGAGTTTTGCTCTTGTTGCTGAGGCTGGAGTGCAATGGCACAATCTCAGCTCACTGCAACCTCTGCTTCCCAGGTTCAAGTGACTCTCTTGCCTTAGCCTCCGGAGTAGCTGGGACTACAGGCACGCACCACCACATCCAGCTAATTTTTTGTATTTTTAGTAAAGATGGGTTTCACCATTTGGCCATGCTGGTCTTGAACTCCTGACCTCAGGTGATCCACCCGCCTAGGCCTCCCAAAGTAGTGGGATTACAGGTGTGAGCCACTGCGTCCGGCCAGAATTGTGCTTCTTAAACATTTGATTCAGGAGAATGCTTCTTGTTGCCCAGTATGTGCCGAAATATTTACCTTATTACTGAAAAACAGGAGTGATGGTAGCAATATTTAACAGCCAGAGGGGCGTGAGCAACAACCAAGCAAACAGAGGAGTAGCTTGGAGAAAGGGCAGGGCCTCGGGGACTCTGCTGCAGGGAGTTACCCCTTTAATTACTGGAGGCATAGGAATGTCTACAGTAACCTAGAGGAGGGACTGACGGAGGTGGCCAGGAAGGTGGTTTCAGGGAGCGGCTCTCCACTGAATGAGAGGGAAGTATTTGATTGCTTTGACCACTGACACAGCTCCTTTGTGAGTACAACCTGAGCAAGTGCCCCGCGTGAGTGGAGCTTGGAACTGGAAGAAAAGTCACCTCTGTTTCATAAGCATTCCACAGACTGTGTATATGCTTGACGGAAACGAATACAATAACTGAACTCAGAAAGGCGACGACGAGCGAGGTTCCTTACCAGGCTATTGCTTGGGGCTCAGGGAGCATCCCCACTTGCCACCGCCTGTGCCTTGGCGCAGAGGCCCCCAGCTCCTGCAGGCGCCTCTGTCCCTGCGAGGCGGCGTGGGGCGCCAGCTGCTTCCTCCCAGGACTTTCAGGCTGAGAACGACAGGGAGAGTGCTAGTCCCAGAGAAGGTTCTTGTTGTCCTAAAGTCACCAAATCCTGAAGAAGAGTTCCTGCAAATTGTCAGCAACACCAAGATGAAAATCAGCCCGGAATCCATAGAAAGGTTGTGGAAGGTATTGGGGGGAGCAACAAAATGCAATCCATGCTGGAGTTGAGAAGTCAAAGACAAGCAGAGTCCGGCCATGGGATGATGAGTCCTCCGCTCTGCGCCCACTGCCCGTCTCTGTTCATAACGCTCATCACTTCTCGCCTGAAGCTGGTCAGTAACCTCCTAAATAATCTTCCCCACCAAGTTTTGCCCTACACGTCAAGCATGCTTCCTGCTCCCCGTAAGATGATCACGAAGCGCAAATCTGATCAGTCACTTTCCTTCCGCTCACCCTTCAGTGATTCTCATCACCTTCAGGATGAAATCTGAATTCCCTGCTGTGCAAGGGAGGCCCTGGTGACCTGCGCCAGCCTAACTCCCACCCTACCCTTCTGGCATCCAGCAAAAGAACCCTTCCTGCGCCTTCCTCAGGCAGCAGCCTGCATGGAATGGGTTCTCCCCCAAGTCCATTCTCCCTCCTACCCCAGCTGAGCTCCTTATCACCTGGCTCCTA